GCGGCGTGACCATCCCCCCTGGGGGGTGATTTCTCGCTTTCTGTCTCTATGTCTCTCTCTGTCTGTCTGGCCAGCGAACGCGCCCTATAGTGAAAAACTTCTCAAAAAAACCAAAAAAACTGCAATGCCATTCCCCAGGCCCCCCAACCACCCAGACACCACCCTACAGACATCTGTGTACCGACATACCCACAACCTCTTCTCTCATTTAGACTCACAGCCACTCTTGGCGATAGCGACCTTTATTTCCATTTTGGAAAAATGGAAACACCCTCGACAAGTTCACTGCCGTGGAAACCATGCACCCCGCCCCGCCCGTCCACCCCACCCGCCATGCGCACTCCTGGGCTACTTAAATATCTGTGGGAATAGGGGTAGATCCGATCCTAGGCATCAAACTCCATGACTTGCGCCTTTCTCTCCCTCCCCAGGTAAGCCACGTGACATTGGAGGGCCACTGACTAGCCAATCAAGTCCCGCCCAAAACTCACCTGCGGTTTCAGTGAAGCCTAGCAAGACCCTAAAGAACCTGGGCGTGGGCGCCCTACCCGGAGAGGCTGGAGGGTGAATAGGGGTAGATCCGATCCTAGGCATCAAACTCCATGACTTGCGCCTTTCTCTCCCTCCCCAGGTAAGCCACGTGACATTGGAGGGCCACTGACTAGCCAATCAAGTCCCGCCCAAAACTCACCTGCGGTTTCAGTGAAGCCTAGCAAGACCCTAAAGAACCTGGGCGTGGGCGCCCTACCCGGAGAGGCTGGAGGGTGGGCGGGGAGGGCGGCCGAGGTGCGGCGGGCACTCACCGAGGATGCGGATCTGCGTGATGGCCCCGTGCAGGCCGAAGAGCATCCAGAGCGGCTGCGAGGCGTCCACGCACAGCTGCATGCCGGCGGCCGCGCCGTTGTGGCTGAGGTGCAGCTCGCCGTCGGCGTTGACCTCCAGGCCCAGGATGTCGCCGCTGTGCAGGGGCCCTGGCACGCGGCACACGGCCCAGAACTCCTTGCGGTCCACCAGGGCCTCGGGGCTGAAGGGCAGCTCGGCGGGTCGCAGCGTGCCGGGGTCACACGTGGTGACGCCGAAGGAGAGCGCGCCGGGCCGCGAGCCGCCTGAGCGCGTGACCTTGACGAAGATGGTCTCGGCGACGCGCACGGGCCGGCTGGTGAAGACGAGGGCGCGCTCGTCGCGCCCGTGCTCCAGGCGCGCCACCGTCTGCTCGTCCAGGATGCGGACGTGCGCGCGGGTGCCGCCCCCTCGTCGCCGTCGCCGTCGCCGCCCGGCACGTTGAGGTCGCACAGGCTCACGGAGAGGCGCGCGTCGTCGGCCTCGCGCCGCAGCGACGGCCTCCTCAGGGCGGTGAAGGAGCGCGGCCGCAGGCAGTCCGGGAGCACCAGCTCGCTGTCTGCGGAGGGGAGGGCGACAAAGGGCCACTTTCACACCAGCCGGGCTCTCAGGGCAGGGCCGCCGCGTGCTTTATGGCGGAGCGTGCGCGGGGCACACTCCTGCGCAAAGGAAAGGGCGAGCTGCGCGAACAGCTGCCCTGTGAGTGAACAGGGCTGCGAGGAGAGACCCAGAATTAACCACCCACGTGCTGCTCCCACGGGCTTAGGAGCTCGGTGCTTGCTTTGCGCAGTGCCCATTTTCCTTATTTTTTACAGTAACTGTGCATTGCTGGTAATATTTTGATTTTGTTGTTGTTACCCGTAGGGCCCTCCCTTTTTCTCCCCAACGTCTAGAACAGCGCCGGAGCGCATACACAAATACTGCAGTAAATATTTGTCAGATATCTGAACACTCTGGAGGCCAACCGGGAACCCCCACCCAGAGCCCCTCTTTGTATAAATTATTTCAACTAATGCTAACACCGTACCCTACTGAGGTTACCGTGGCCACACAAGGAGAGAAGTAAATGTATCCCAAGAAATCCTTTCCAAAGTGACTTAACTGAGAATCAAACTTTTTCAATTTTTTTTTTTTTTTTGCTAGAGGGTTCACGTGCTTGCCGGAGACCAAGAGAGAGAAAGTGAGGAAGCACCCACAAACCTACGCACGCACACACACACACACCATGGGGAATGGTGATTCTGCAATCCCTTTCTGCATTTCTCCCTCCCTTCAGGATGATGGACACACACGTGCATGGACCAGCGGGTCTTTGAGCCTGGGTCTGAGATTTGAACCTCAGAGTCAGCCATGTGGGATCCAGCCACCTTAATCACCACGCTGCAGGCTGCCCCTCCCCTTTCTCTTTTTAATAACATGATTAATACAAACTATTCTGCAGAAAATACAGCTCAGCAGCCAGTAACCTAGTGGTTACGGGAAGCTGGATCCCACATGGCCAACGGCAGTTCAGTTTCCACACTAGAAGCTTCTACTGCGCAGTATGCCCAAGATCCTGACAGGAAAGAGAAAGGGAGATGGGACGTGGTGTGGCCACGCCGCACTGGGGGCACGCTTTCTCCTTCCCTTTCTCTCTCCCTGTTGAGCCCTCATGCCCTCTGGCAAGAAAGGGAGAGAGACAGGAAGAAAGAACAGTTCAGCAGAAAGAAAAACTAATCATCTCACCTACCGCCCACAGAAAACGTACTTTTAAGATTTGCCTGTATGACCTTTCACCTTTCTAAATAGATTTTTGGTTACTCCTTAAAATTTTTTTTAGTTTTGCTATAGCACATTTGCACTCACTGGAGAGAGATAGAAAGAAGGAAAGTGAGAAATGACCCCCTAGGGGCTGGCCTGTGGCTTGGTGGTTAAGGGTGCTGGACTCCCACATGGCCGACCACAGTTCCTGTCTAGGACCTGCTGGCTTGCTTTGTCACTTTCCCTCTCTCTGTTTCTCTCTCTTTCACTCTGTCCCTCTCTGGTCAAATTTAAATAAAGTTAGTTTTTTTAATGACCCCCCTAGGAGGAATGGCCATACTGCAATCCCATCTCTTCTATTCTCTCACAATTTTGGACATGCACACACATGCACCGAGTGTGGTTTTCAGGCCACAGGGTTGGGCCTAAACCAGGCAGACCATGGGGGATCCAGCTGCTTTAACCTCCGTGACACCTGCTGATCCCGATTACTTTTTCTTATGTAGAAACTGAAATGTGAGGGACTAGCAGTTAGCATAATGGCTATGTAGCTGGACTCCCACGTAGTCAACCACGGTTCGAGTCCCGGACCCGGTGGCTTAAACTCACACCGGGCGCATGTGCGTGCGTGCATGCCCAAGATCCTGAGAGGAGAATAGAGGAGAAGGGATTGTGGCGTGGTCATCCCCTCTGGGGGGGGCGGGGTGACTTCTTGCTTTCTACCTCTCTGTCTCTCTCTGTCTGGCGAGCGCACGTGCCCTATAGCAAAAAAAAAAAAAAATTCTCCAAAAAGAAAAAAAAAAGATATATGATATATAGTTTTTAACCTCCCAGGGATAATAAATCACTTTGCAAATGGGATGGTAACTGACCTATCTTCCCAGAAAAATGCATTCTTACTAAATTTTGTAGATAATTGTGAGGCATCTGTGAGCTCTATGAAGCCATCCACAGGCACAGACCCCAGGCTAAGAACCCGGCTGTAGAGATTTCACACCTAGCTGTTGCCACTCACTAGATCCTGAACACCTTTCCATGCCAGTAACTATTTCCAGCCTCTTTTTTCTTTCTTTGTTTTTGAGAGAGTTTTGCTATAGAGCGCATGTGCTCATCAGAGAGATGGAGACAGAAAGTGTGAAATCACCGCCTCCACCCACCCCTCCACCGGGAGATGGCCACACCACAGTCCCTTCTCCTCCATTCTCCTCTTCGGATTTCGGGCACGCACACACACACGCCCAGCATGAGTTTAAGCTGCCAGGTCCAGGACTTGAACCACGGTTGACTGAGTGGGAGTTCAGCGACATAGCCATTACATCTGTTAGTCTCCCAACACATTCTTTCAATGGCTCTGTTACGTCCTGCTTTGTGGAGTCCTACAGCTTCTAATAAAAGTGATTGGAGTCCTTAGAGCAGTCCACGGGGTGCCCCCGTGTCACAGATAATGCTCAGGGATGTTACGTGACCATGTGGCAGATCCAGGCTGACGCGAAGTCTGTTCAACTCCCACCACCACCTTCTTCTCTTCCAGCCCCCCGTATTTACTGAACTGCTTCTGTGGACATTAATGTCCCGGATCTGGCTGGCACCCAGTAAGCCACACTGTGGACCAATCCCTTCCCTGGAGTCTTCTCTCTGCGTGTCTCTTGATCCAGGTGAGGATGGGGGTGCTCCAGTTTGCCAGCAGAGCTCCAGAGACTGGCCTGGTAGGGTCAGCAGAGACTAGATTTAAACACAGTCTCTCAGGCCTCCCTGTTTTTCTCTCCCTGCCTCTCTGTGCCTTCCAGGAGCTGTGCTGTCTGGGCCTGGCAAGGTGTGGGTGCGGGGCCCTCCCCTCGGGTCTCCTGCCATTCTGGAGAAACCTCTTGGGGCCTAGCTGGTTGGGGTTTTCCAGCATCATGCTGGCAAGGAGCAGGGAGCCGACCGGAAAATGCGATTATTCCAGAGAATTGACTCTGTGACAGCGATGGTGCAGAGGCTGGGGGGCTGCAGTGAGGCAGAGGCCAGGAGGGCCTACGGGAGGGGAAGGTGTGAGAGGCAATGTGGGGACCTGGGGTTCATAGGCTGCCCTGGACCCTGGAACCAGTCCCTGCTTCTTCCCCCTTGGGGATTCCAGGCCTGGCCCTTGGGGACTCCAGAGGGTAGAGGCAGGGAGGGGGAAGGGACAGGAACAGCAGGGAGAAGAGGACTCAAGTGACTCCGAGATGCCCAACCAGAGCCTACAGGAACACAGCTGTCACGGGCTCACATGCGTGTGGACCCCCATCCCCACCCTGCTCCTGGGGGCCATCAGTCTAGAGCCCTGGAGCTGGCACCCCACAGAACAGATGCAGAGCGGAGCTGGGCAGGCGCTGTCCTGGCTGCTCTGCCCCTTCGGAGCCCTCTGCTGCTTGAACGTGCCCACTGCCAGATGCTTGCTGCTCCTAGGCAGCCTGTCCCCTTGTCAAGCGCATCCGACTTTAAGAAAGCAGTTCCGGGACCAGCAAATGGCATAATGGCTACGTCACTGGACTCACACGTAGTCAGCCATGGTGCAGTTCCTAGACCCAGCAGCTTAAAACTCACGCCAGGCATGTGTGCGTGCGTGCCCAAAATCCCAAGAGGAGAATGGAGGAGAAGGGATTGCGGCATGACCATCCCCCCGGGGGGCGATTTCTTGCTTTCTGTCTCTCTAGTGAGTGCCTGTGTCTTACATCAAAAATCTCTCTCGGGACCAGCAGTTAGCGTAATGGCTATGTCGCTGGACTCCCACGTAGTCGACCGTGGTTCGAGTCCCGGACCCGGTGGCTTAAACTCACGCCGGGCGCGTGTGCGTGCGTGCCCAAGATCCTGAGAGGAGAGTGGAGGAGAAGGGATTGCGGCGTGACCATCCCCCTGGGGGGTGATTTCCTGCTTTCTGTCTCTCTGTCTCTCTCTGTCTGTCTGGCGAGCGCACGCACCCTATAGCGAAAACCTCTCAAAAAAAAAAAAAAAACTCTCAAAAAAAAAAAAAAAAAAAAAAAGGAAGAAGGAAGAGAAAAAAGAAAGCAGTTCCTCCTCTAAACGGAAATCTGCCTCCCTGTGTTTAAACTACTACTGCCTGGGGTGCCTGTCAGCCCCACACCGAAGACAGCTCTCCACAGGGAACACTCAGACTCCCCGCGCGCCTCCTCGCCTCAGGCCACAAACGGTACCAGCCTCCATACAGCAGACGTGCCCTAGCCAGCTCAGGACACAGTGCGGCATCACCTCCCTCCACAGGTACACTATACTGTTAATAACGCGACCTAAAAACCTTTGTTTTTTAAGTGACCTAACCCACAGATTGGTAGGAAGACAGGAGCTTAGTTAGGTGCAGTGAATCTGATGTCGTCTGCTTGGGTTCAAATCTGGCTACGTTACTTCCTATATGACATGGATATGTAACCTTAGACAAGTAGCTTAACCTCTGAGGGGTTCTCGTCTTCAGCAGTGAAATCAGAATGAACTGATTCTACAAAATGGATCTTCTAATATTCCCCTTAGAAAGGCTGCTGTGGTAGCACCAGCAGATGGCGTAATGGCTCCGTCGCTGGACTCCCACGTGGTCGACTGCATTTCAAGTTCTGACCTGATGGCTTAAAACTCATGCCAGGCGCATGTGCAAGCTTGCCCAAAATCCTGAGAGAAGACTGCAGCGTGGCCACCTCCTCTGGGGTGTGATTTCTCGCTTTCTGTTTCTCTGCCTCTCTCTGTCAAGCCCTATAGCAAAAAATCTCTCCAAGAAAAGATGCACGGGGATGAAGTGGGACAGGTACGAAGGGCACCGAGTAGGACGCCTAGCACGCACTCACCCGCAGG